CGCGAAAGGAAATTAAAGGAAATTCGAGGAAACTCTTTTCGGCGTATAACACACAGGATGACTTTTCCAATTTTGCGAAAAACATGGAACAGTCGTGGAGTCATCTGCGTTCGACGATGGTTGAGAATCACTAGCGCTCGGATAGAAGCAAGAGGCAACTTTCAGGTACACGTTGAAGCGAGACGGAGCAATAGACTCGGGAACGAACAGCCGAGGCAAAGGTATAGCACGATGAGACGACTCGCAAGAGAGACAGAAGACGACGATGGAGGAAGAGAGAAGCGAGAACAGAAGGGGAGGAAAAGGGACGAGGAAAGGTTAAGGGAGAGGTAGAGGAATGATGGGAAGAGGGTAAAAGGAGGCGAAGGGAGAAACCCCCCGTTGCGCCCATACTGGACTTGGGTTTTTTGTAAGGGTGTGCGGGTACGCAGGACGGATGTGGAGGGAGACGGGGGGGAGAACGGGGGCGGTAGGGTACGAACGGGCGAGGGCGACTGCCGACGGTGAGGAACGACGGCAACGGCGGAGGGGGGGAGGGGGAAGAGGAAAGGAGAAAAACCGGCAAGCAAGCAGGGGCTGCTCTAGGGAATGAGAAACATAGACGGAGAAGGGAACGAACCGAAGGAGCGAGACAGAGAAAGAGAGAGAAAGACGGAGAGTTAGGGTAAAGGTAGCGAAGGCGGTGTGGGAGGTCGAGGAAAGAGCGGGGACAGCCGGGAGGGGGAGAGGTAGAAAGGGTCTTGCCACGAGGAAGAGAGAGGGTGAGAGCTCGACTAGAGAGATCCATAGGGGTGCCACGGCAAAGGGTAGGGGAATCTACCGCCCGAGGCTTCAGAAACCAAGGGTGTCTAATGCCGAAGTGGACTTTGTTCGCTCGCTGAGATGACGCACCCTGTGCATGTGTGGGTGCACATGCATGCACGCAGGTAAAGAGACTCTTTTATACATGTATACGTACATACACATCGACTTGGCTGATTGTTGCATAATTTACGCTAAAGAATAGTACAGCATTGATCTTAAACAAGGAACACACATTTGAACATCTTGCTATAAATAAAAAATAGTAAAAATAATAAATCATTCCGGTTCAGAATTTAATTGTTAATCGCACCGATAATATGCCGTTACTTCTACATTCTTCTCGTTACTTCTAAAATAGAAAAAGACGAATATAACTTACTACGTTAAGAAAAGTTTTCGTAATAAATTAAGTTAACAGCCGCCGCCTCTCTCGTTTCATGCGGAAGCCACGCGATATCCTTCAATAGACTGATAAAGACGTTTACAAGAGTGATAATAAGGGTAATAATGATAACGAAGCGATTATATGTATCTCCCTAAGGTAAGACACGGATCATCTAACGTCAGATTGAATCGGAAAAATCGCACTTTCGCCGGAAAGTTTTAAACTTTTTTACGCTCCTTGTGTCCCGAAGTTTTCTTACTTCCGTCGAAGCAAACTGTTGCTTAGATCGTTATCGCGTACCGCGGTGTGATAAGAGGGGAGGTGAACGTTTGTCCCATCGACGTGAAGGAATTAGAAATAATCTCTTTAGGATCTATCGACAGGAAGGAGGAAAAAACTCGTGCATTCTCTTCCTACGCTTTCGACTTTTTCAATCGACAAGCCGATGACTTTTATTGTCGACGACACAACGCGAAAGCGTAGGTGTGTCTGCGCACGCATTCATCCGTTCATTTATTTTATCCGCGTGCATTTTGTACGATATTGTTGAAAACATTATTAATCCCAATAAGTTCGCGCTTTAGTTCGCGACTGGAGTTTCCTTTGCTTTTCAAAGTAGAGAAAGGGAGAGAGAGAGAGAAAGGAGAAAAAAAGGGAAAAACAGCTTGCAGAAGACATCGTAAATAAAGTACGCGGACCGGCCAATAAAAAGATCGCCTTTTGGAAGGAAGTCAAGCGGACAGGTGGAGCCCCGAGGACGTCTGTGCGCATGGTATAACCATCGTAAAGTCGAGAGAAAAAGCATTTTACGACGCTGGCCCGATAACCTGCTCATTTCTCTTAAGACTATCCTTCGCAGGACCATTTACGAGGTCATTTCTATGTTGCCGCTTGTCGGTTTGTCTACGTATTGTCGCATAGATAATTTCAGCGATGCGGCATCGTCGGAGTTGTAAGAGACCTCGGCAATATTCCTATTTTTTAAAAGCTATTTTTTATAAAATTCGTTGTATTCTTACAAAATAGATGATGTATATTAATTTGAAAAATTTATGTTATTATTACCTTATTTTTATATATACATCATATACATATATGTAATCGTTTTAATTAATTCTTTTGTTTCACATTAATTTTTGATATAAGCATTGCATAACTAGTTTCTTTTTCTGTTTTAAACGAACAATATTTTGGAAAAACTTTCTGAAGAAGTCTCGATTGTTTGAAGTACCAAAATTGGCAAGAGCCAGGATTTTACGTCCATCTATTAAAAAGTGCAGATTTTCTATAGTTTTATTCGTACTTGACCTAATAAAATCAGTGCATATGATTGATTGACTGCAGGAGCACTCTAAATTTACAGTAAAAGGAAATCGCAATCTTGTTGAAGAATTACTAAAGTCTTTCAAGTATACACGAATCCTTTCATGCGTCACCGTAAGTCGGTTCATTCATTCACGAATGATGTTCCAAGATATATATGTATGTGATATGATTTAACTTGACGTGCAGTAAGAGAGCTATTGCACGCAAACATTTAATTTTTACGAAAAATTTTAATTTTATTTTTTCAAAATTAAAAATAAATTATTACAATTCCTCTGATTGTTCCTTCAGAATTTCCGAAAATTCTTAATTGATTTACAAGACTTAATTGATTTACAAAGACTTTTGTCATTTAAAACAATGAAAATATCAAAATCTCCTTTGCGCGCGATGTCTTCTATTATGTAAAAATTGCAATTACTTCTGAGAAACTTCAGAAATAATTCTATAGTTCTAGATAACTTTCAAAAGAATTTTATTTAAAATACCTTCAAAAATTAATCTCAGCAGGAAGAGATCGCTCTATCATTTTTTAAAAAATATACATTGTTTTCTAATTTAAAAATTTTGGAACTTTCCAAAAACACATCCAGAACTTTTTCTGATTTTTTAAAAATTTTATAACGATTAATTTCACACAGGTAGATAGTTTTATGTTCGTCGTTTTTTGCGAATTAGATTTTTAATGATTCATCATGTGAATTGGATCGGGCTACAAGCTTAAAGCTACAATTACGTAAAAGTGACAACGAACATATATCTGACAATCGCTCTGCCCCGATATTATAATTATTGGAATTTACACGTTCGCCAGCTGTAAACAAGGCATTAAATGTAACACGACGATCGATTAATAATGTGAAAGTCTTAAATAGGGAAATTTCCCTAAAAATAAAAGTAAAGGTAAAAAGAATAATATGTACATTTGAAAATCAATGCATGATCATTATTGCACTTTGAATATTCGACAAAAGTATTAGTCGATATTAAACTTTTATAATCTACTTGATGCAAATCGTTGTACAAATGAAGTAGCTGAATAAAAACAAACAGCAATCCGTGTGATTTTAACCACTTATTTAAATCACATAGGAATTATTTGAATCACACAGGAAAAGATAAATAAATGATACAGGAAACTGTTATCTAAATCATGGATCATCGACACTGGTATTAAACCAGGACCGGCGACACGACGACGACGATGACGAGCTAATAATACGGAAGGTTTAAACGGAGAGAGCTTCCCTAAAAATGCATCGGGCGAGCAAACCCGTCCGGCTCTTTCGCCCAGGTCGCACGTAGGCAGGCAAGTAAGCAAGCGGACAGGCGAGAGAGACCACTCTTGTCGGAGGTGCCGCGTAACTTACGTCTCTCAAGTACCGCGGCAAAGCCGCGGCGGCGTTACGTATCGCCGGTAGTAGCACACTAGCGTGACAGTATGGTGCAAAGGACAGAGTCCGATGCCCAGGAGAAGACGATGAAAGACAGAGGAACGGAGAGAGAGAGAGAGAGAGAGAGAGAGAGAGAGAGAGAGAAGGGGGGGGGGAGAGAGAAAAAGAAAGAGAAAGAGAAACAGAGGAGTGGTACAGATAAAGCGCAACACGCTCGAATAGACCAAGATCGACTGAAAAGAGAGAGAGAGAGAGAAAGAGAAAGAGATAGAGCCCGTAGATACCGTACGTCCACGTAGCAATGCGCACATGTACATCGGAGGAGCAAAGCGGTGGGCACATACCCTTCTAAGCACAAGCCTAACACACCCGTGGAAGCCCCTTCGGCCGATGAGCGCTGGCGCCCCTTAGCCCCTCGCTCTCTACGCTATACCACCCCTCTCCCCCTCCCTCCGCCCTACCTTCATCGTCCGGAAAGGTCCCTGCCGCCCGTTCCCTCACCCATCCCCCTCCCCGCGCCACCGGATGCCCGACAGCGGCCCCTTACGCCCCTTTGAATCTCTTGCCTCTTCCCTCGCCCCGCTTTCCCCCCTCGAGTTACTCGTCCAACGGCCCCCTCGATGTTCTGACGGTGACAGACCCTACCTTACCGCCGCCGCCACCGCCGCACTGAACCGAGTGGGGAGGGTCGAGGGGGAACCGACGAGGGCGAGCGAAGCAGGAACGCGAAGGAGCGAGAGGGAAACGGAGATGAAGAGAGAAACGACCACGTTGAGGAAGAGGGGAGGAGGGAGCGAGGGGGGTTGACGCGCTCGAAGAGGGCCGCTGGGGAGTGAGAGAGCGGTGCGGGTCGTCCAAGTACCGTGGCGAGGGGATTCCGCGGGAGAGAGGGAGGAACCGACGGAAGGGGGATGAGTTGACGGCGAGTGAGAGAGTGGGGTATGGGTGAAGCGCGGTAGTGGTGTGAGGCTCTCTACCGTGGGTCTGGGGTGAGGACACCGGAGAAGAGAAGGGAAGGGAGGGGGAGCCATGTTGAGGCGTGGAGGCGGCAGCGCAGCGGCGCGAGGAGAAGAGGAGGTCGTCGCCGCGTCGCCAGCCGCCAGTTCGCCGTGAGCGTTCGTAATGCGAGGACAGTCTGTGATCGCATCAGCGAGCGCGGAGCACTCTCACCTCTCGCTTTAAACGACACAGAGAGCGAGCGAAATACGGAGGCGACAATCGTGCGGTCGATTTCTCTGATCGACGATTCCTCGGGAAGCGAGCAAGATCGGGCAACCAGGACGCGAAGGCTTCTCGGCCTCTCTTTTTTTTCGATCGTGCCGTCAAACGGGCGCCGTTCTAACTTCTAAACACGAGGATTCGGAGGATCGCCAGCTTGGAACTTGGATTCCGTTCTCCTCTTCGAGTTTGTGAAAGAATTCGACACGAAACAACTATTCGTTCGATCGGAGTCGAGCGATTCGACGAGGTGTGTTTAATCCGAGTGATTCAGAGTTCGCGACGAATCAGCTGATCGCGATACCGTTTCATCGGTTTAACGGACTTTGCGGAGCTGCCTTGCGCGCACCTCTTCAATCGTGACGAGTGAGAAACAGAAACAATAATACGGACAGCTGAGTAAGACGTGCGCGAGGGGGTGTAAGTGAAAGAAAGGAGGCAACGTAAAAAACGGTGAAAGAAAAACAGACTTTTTCTCAGTTCCAAGTGTTCGGACATTCTTCCGGTTGTTCCGGCTGCGCGTGGGCTTGTTTTAATTTCGCGCGGCGCCGACACCTGCTACAACTGCAACAACTAACTGCGCGGGGGGGGGTTTTATCGCGGAACTTTCGTGGCGCCGCCGTGTGCCGTGTAGTGTGCGCGGGGTGAGAGCTTGAAGTTTGCGAGCGCAAGGTGGGACGAAGTGCAACCGTGTGCGCGCGCGTGCGGAATAAAGAAAGAGAGAGAGAGAGAGGGACAGAAACGAAACACGATACTCCGAGAAAGTTTACTCGCGACGTGCCGGTCGCACTAGAGAACACCTCATTCTCTATATGCGAGAGTAGGATCGTACCACGCGCCAGAGGAAGCCGTCAGGCGGAAGCGAAGAAAGGAGACAGAAGAGGAAACGGTAGGGACGAGAAAGAGAGTGCGTCACCGCGTGCACTCGTCTATCGTTGTCGCTCTCGCGCTCTCCCCTCCCTCTCCTCTCTCCTCGCCTTTGTGTTCCTCGTGATTGTCGCCGTGCCTTCGCCTATGGCTTGTCAGTAGCAGAGAAAAACAGACGGAAGAGCGAAGGATAGAGAGACAGGAGGACAGAGGCGGACAGGCCGATAGAGACCGTCGAGGCAGATATTTCTCACCAAGGGGGAACAGAGGGGGCATCCCGGCAAACTGAATATGTCCGCCAAGCGAAAGTCCACTGCCATCATGCAGCACCACAAGGTGAGTCCATAATACATACATATATACATACATACACACACGCACACAGAATAACATCCAGACGTACGTTCATATCGCCACGTGATATATCGGTACTTTTTCACCGTGAACGAGAGAGAGTGAGGCAGCTCGCCGAGTTCAGTTTAGATACACGGATAATGTTCTTCCGGTTATCGGCACAAAGGAGAAAACGTTGGACCACCGTCGAAATAATGAATTGTCGGGTTCAAGGTTAAAATTCCTTTAAGCGAGGGGGATGTGCTCAGGTAGCGAGAAATTTCTCTAATTTTAACATTAACCTCGACGATGCTAATTTATTTCTCTCCCTTTCTTCTCCCCTACCGCCTTTACTTCTCCCGATGATGCGTGACGAATGATGAATTTTTCCAACGAAAGCTCGAAAAGCTCGGAAACAACCGCGCGTTCCGTTAACGGAACTCGTTACTACGCGCGTGGAACCTAATTTTTTTCGGAGCGCGGGAAGATAAACTGTGGAAAAGTTTTAATTGAAAGAGTTGTGTAAATCCCGGTGCGGCGGCGACGACATGATGAGGTGCGGTGAAGTGCGCAAGCCGAGTTCAAAAAATTGTTCTCGTACCGTTTGTATTCCGCGCTGAGCTCGGTGTTACACGCGCCAAATTACTCGAAATGCGTCGTGCAACGCGCTGTGCTCGTTGCTTCTCTTCGACTTTTGTACCAGCTCGCTCGTCTAATTATAATTATATATTTGCGCGCGATACGAAAGGGAGCTCTCGCGCAATCAAGAGAAAAAATGATTTTTCATGACGTAAAGAGCGACTCGTAATAATAAAGTCCGTTATTTTTCTATAGAACTATTATTCCGCTATTTCCGCCTGCGTTCTATAATCGATAATTTTTTAGCAATAAAAATATCATCCCAGAACTTCTTTTTCTCCCAAAATCGTCAAATAATCTATTATTAAAGTTTAATTAAAACATCTTATATAATAGCAATTTAATAGAAGTAAATAAAGGATATCAAAATATATCAAAATCATTAGAACATAATGAATTTTTCTTCCAATCTACAAGTTTAATTTTCCCTATTTAATTTTTATCGATATTATCCACTTTTATAAGTATAATTGTGCGCATATCGATAATACTGTTATACATTAAAATGCACGCTTGATACGCACGTGGAGAGGTCAGCGATCGTCTCTTTAAGTTCGTGTTCGCGTATCATAATTTCCACTTCTTTGGAATATCATCGGAAATATCGACGGACGATCATCGCGTGAACCTCGATGACACACGTCCGGCGCGAATCGCGCAATTCAATGACGAACTCAGTTGGATCGCACTTATCTCGTGACTTTTTTTCTCCTCGATTGTAGCAACCGAGCTAGATTAGAGCCACGTATCTAAATGATAGATAATCCCCGGATGGTATTTTCGCGGCGAGAAATATGCTCCCGATTCGCGCACGTGCTCGCCGTCCGCTTTATTGCCTTTGATTAATTACGGGATACATTATTTTCATCTTGCCCGAACATTATGTAAATGTAATTTATTCTGATAAACTCTTTCGTAGTCTAAAACAATAATTCGATAATGCATATTGTGAGGTGAAAAATAAATTATTTGTAATCTTGAGTTATTAAATACAATATAAAATGACATATAATATAATAGACTGAATAATAAGATTGAGGAGTTAAAATAAAGGAGATTTTTTTAAATTTAATATTTTCTCTCGTAAATATGCAGTTCTCTCGAATATTTTTGTAAAGAAATAATATAATATATAAAATTAATATACATATATAAAAAAGTAAATTTCTAAAGATATCTGCCGAGGGCGGAGCTAAAATGAGCAAAAATATAAAATATTAAACCTAATATCTGAAACATGCGTATTCTTTGTCCTCCGTTAATCTTTGATCATATCGCGAGTGTGATTAAAAAACAGCGCATTTATCGGCTGATAAAGCGAAAATCGGCGCAAAAAGGGACCAAAGCGTCCGTAACTGAAACGAATTACACCAGCAGTACGTCTCTTAACAATTTTTCGAATATCCGTCTATGCGATTTTCAGAGTGATAATATAACAGCCGTCGAAACGCGGTTCCACGACGAGCGGGGTCCGATAAAAATGTGAGCGCATATCGAACACGCCTCGTTAATTTATCGATCGACGTGCTCGGCGCAGTGTAAATTGCTCCCGATGACACCGTCCGAATTATATTCCTTTTTCATGCCGTTACTCATACCTCTGTTTCGATTCCCGTCGCATATTTATGTTAAATATGCGCTTATCCATTTTTTCGCACTTCATATTTATGCCAAGGTCTGTTTTGTCTGATAAACGCGAGATATGTAAAAGAAATCATTTCTCTATACGAATTTTTCAATCAATTAATGATCTTAAAAAATAATATTGAAATAATTTCTTGTATATATAATTTTATTTCATCAAAAATCTCAGTTTTTTTTTATTATTAGATTATTAAATATTATCTTTATATATCAATAATATTTATGAAAACATCACGTAGAGACTTAAATTTGCGCCGAGGATATGTGGAAGCTTACACATTACCATGTATTGCGAAATATGTTGGGACGAGCACAATATCAGGTATATAACGAATTGTAACCTTTGAAGTTTCGTTTAAAAAACAAAAGTTATCTTTCTCGCTCCTGGAACATGGTCCGTTTGTCGTTATACTTGAAGGCTAACGAGAAAGGGATGATGAAAGAGTGAGGGCGAGCGCAGAAAAATAACATATAAGCATGCCAGGGAGCGAAAACAAAGTGTAAATACTAACGGATGTGTGTTACCTCCGACGAGCTAGATCGATCGGATCAGAATCGAACCGCGAAAGTCGAGTCGAAGTTGAGGCAGGTTCGGGATGCCTGCACGCGTCCTTCTTCTTCTCTTTCTCTCGTTCTCTCTCTCTCTTTCCTTATTTCACTCGTTTGTCCTCGTCGTCTCTCTTCGTCCTTCCCCCTCTTCTTCCATTGCGGCTGTCCCGCTCTACCGAGGTTCTCCCTCTCACAAATCCGTCCTTTCTTTCTCTCTTGCGCTTTTCTTTCTCTCCATCATGTGCCTGCCTACGCGGCTCTCGCTCTTTCGCGGTCCAACAGGTTATATTTTTCCACAGCGGCATCTCTTCCTCCCCTTTCTCTACCCTTCGTCGGTAGTATTCTTTTTTTTTCTCTCTATCTTTCGGTCTTTATTCCCCTCGGGCCGTCGTACGCGTCCGTTCTTTTCTATCCTGGCACATGTTTCCGTTTCGTCGTCGTCGTTGACGATGACAACGACGGTCTCCTGTCGCTGCGCTTGCATGATGGTAAAATCTTTTTTCCTCGAAGTCGACCTATCGGTGAATTTAACCCTTCAGCCGTATCCGGGAATTTTTCCGATCAAATCATGACCTTAAAAATTTCCGACAATCTTATAATATTCGTTAAATTACTTTCACTACTGAAAAGAATAATACGCAAAATATTAATTTTTAATTTTTGTCGTAAATCGTAAACTTCATCTACCATACTTCTCAAGTAACGACGCATGGTGTTGATTAATAGCCGCGCTTTTTGCGAATAATTTTCAGAAGATTCGATAGTAACTTGCTCCGCAGCTGGTAGACCAGCTCCCGCGAGCGAGGATAATTAACGCCGTAATTAAAACTCACGTTACTTGTATTTATTTTTCATTCTATTAAATTGCGACAAATGATTTAAGCGACATAGGGACCGCCTACACACACGCGAGCAAACACGACTTACCGAGCAAAAGTAAATATTGTATCGCAAAAGTGCCAGAGGGAAAGGGGGGGGGGAGGATATTAATTCGTTAAAAGCATTCCAGCGACAAGTATATTTTCGCATTTTTTTTTCTTTTTTTAATCAGTATAAGTGCATCCTTCGTCCCTCGCGCGCTAATCTAGCTCGACCATATCCACGTTCGCGACCGTTAGTGCATGAAACACCGCACGAGCCGCACCGCAATAATCACGTTATAATTCGCGTCGAATAACGGCTATTCAATTAAACGCTTCTTGGACCGGCGATGTATATTATCGGATGAAATCGAAGATCTCTCTCTCTCTCTCGCTCCTCCGGTCCCTCCGCTCCGATCAATCGTCATTATTCACATATCGTTATATTCACGCTGCGCTTGTCATGTATGACGTTCAAACGTTAATCAATTCGCTTTTTTTGGCGGAATAGCTGAAAAATTGGCCGTCGAAATAACTGATAATATATTTACGCCATCTCTATGGATAAAGGTGATAAATATTTTTTGCTCGACAGCTTGCATAAATAAAAAGAGGACATTATGGTGTTTACGAATTTTTGTTTCCAAGATTAGAAATTCATAAATTTATGAAACGAGTATCAATTAATTTTTAGTTGATTTATTTGTTAGTCTTTGCGAAAATAGATAAACATGTAATTTACGATATTATATAATAGCTGGAATAAACAATCACATTCACCTGAAATTCACTTTTTCACGACGGAAGGCACGTGGAATCATGGGAGCGAACGCTAATGGAGCGTGCGATTCTCTCATTAAGAGCCTAAATTATGGAGCGGGGCCAGTAAAGGCCTGAGGGCCCGACGTATGTAAGGCGCTTTCGTGCGTAACGGTAATCTCGTCGATCGAAAGAGGACAGTCCTTGGATCGATATTTATGTTCGATCCAGATACATTTTCAATACACACATATTACTGATTTTTATGTTAATTTTATTCTCATTTGAATTTTTTCTTTAAATTTCATTGTCGTTATTAAATTAAAACATTGTTTTTAACAGAATTGCATAAATATTGGAGTATTTATACGATGTTTGTATATGTTTAATGATCTAAGAAAGACTTTATGACGTTCTAACATTTTTAATAAATTAGAATATCGAGTTTGATAATGTTTTGGTGAAATTAATGTCGCCATTGTTTAATGCCATTGGCGAATAATGGCACTGCGGAATACAAATTGTGTTTTCATATAACGCACAATTATATCG